GGATCTGGTTCGTTGAGTTCCGGGTACTTGCGAGCCCGTCGGAACTGTTGATCCCAGTCATCGAACTTTGACTCCAAGAAGTAGATCTGTGGAATGGCCTTGCGCCTTTTCCATCTCTTGGCAAGAGCAGTCTTCAGCTTGCCCTTATGTCGCGACAACCACACGAAGGCCTGTCGCTGCTCGAGTTTGTCCCCCGACGCTGCGACGTGGATGTAGGCCGCACGACAACCCCGGCTCATGATGACATCATGGACTTGAAGACGATATTGCATGTCCTCGTCACCCATTCTCTCAAGAGACACTTCGCAGGCGTTGAAGATCTCCTCCACGGTCCTCCTGATCATACGGGGCCTTAATACCTATAACAAGGACGTAATAAGGCCTAATTTGAGGAAGTATAATTAGTCCCGTAATTACCCCGCTCCCCCCTACCCCGCTTACGGGTCCCTATACCTGAGCCTATGACCTGAGGTACGAGGCCACTCGCGCTTGATTGCGCGTCTCGATGTGTTTCACGCCCTTGGGATCTCGCGCGTGCCAGGCGAAGCCATGTCTGGGAACCTGGGATCTTGTTAAGGGATGTAATCTAAGCTATCATAAATGAAGAGACCATACATCATTTACTATAGATCCCGATATGAACCTTAAACCCAAAAAAGAACCCTAAAGAGATCCCGAAACTATGGTCACTTAAAGTAAGTTCCTTAACGAGAGCCCAGCGACTGAGAGCTCCTGCTGCCTTGCCACAGGAGGGTGCGAGCTGGTGCCAGTGAAAGCTGTGTGCCACGTAGCAAGCGCGAGAAAGGCCGCGAGGGCCCAGGCTCGCTTCAGCAGCCTTACTTTGAGGTTCATGGGCCATGGGTAGTGATACGGGAGAGCATAAACCCTTGATATGGCTCTTAACTGTCCTTACCCTACTTTGCATCAACCTCCACGTACTTATCCAAGTTCGCAGGCCAAGAAGGACTGCAGTGTAAACTATACTGAACTTAGAACCCTAGCAAAAATATAATTTTAGCTGCTTCTTAGGGATGGTAATAACCAAAAATTAAAAAATATTTCTACGTACCCCTAAGTAAAGGGATCAGGCAATGGTACGGCAACGACCCTGACGTGCCAAAGGCTACTTACAATTCACCCCCAATCCCTCGCCGGAAAGCAGTCCCCGAACCGCCCACCCAAAAATCACGAACTTCAAGCAAAACCAAGGGTGTAGGGCCACGGTGTAGGGTTTACATTAGTGTTTCAACCCCTAAACCCTCAAAACCCCAAAACCTTTCATAAGGTCTAGGCGCATGGTCTGCCGCAGGTGGGGCACTGGTCCGCTCAGCCCATCAAAGCGCATTTTTGCAACCCCTTCCTTCCAAAACTGAGAGGAGAAACCAACAAGAACAATTGTAGTCATAGCAGTTTCAATGGTAATGACCCGAATTCCCTGTCATTTGGGGGGTTTGGGTTCGCGTAGGCTTCGCAGAAGGCCGAAGATATATTTATGATGAGGCTGAAGGCTTGTGTGCTGCTGCCGAAAACGAACTGCGGCGATATTTGCGGACCATGGGCATCACAGCCAGCTTTCCGGAAGAATGCTCTTGATTCTACTCAGTGAGCCATGAAAAACGGTTGCGAAGCCAATAGCAAGATCTTACAGTGGATCCAACCCTAAAAGCCTCGACCCCTAAATCATAAACCCTGAATCCTAAACCCTTCACCTTGAAACCCTAAACCGTGCTGACCCTAAACCCTAGACCCCTAGGCACTAAACCATAAACCCTGAATCCTAAACCCTGAACCCCAAAACCCTAAACCGTGCTTTGTGCAACTACGAGCCTCCCTGCACAGGCACGTGATTGAGAGGCTTTCCCCGCAGGCCCCAAAGTAGTTCCTTTTCGGGATTACCTTATAGGATGCAAAATGTGAACCACAAAAAAGAACTACTATGGGGCCTTAGGGTAAAGGCGACCGAGGAACTTTCCCCACCACTAGTTCCACTCGATACCTACACTCTCCATTGAAGTTTCTTTTCTTGGTTTGCAAAAAAAGGATCCTGTTCGGTCAGGCGAAAAAGGAACTGCAATGGAGACTGTATGTAAATCGTCAGATCGAGATGCAGCGCATGAACATTTATACTCCTAAGATGTCTTGTTTGAGATGGGCTTTCCAACAAGAAGAGGTTCATGCTAGGGCTGTTAGGGGTCCCTGAAAGTACGAATCGATTTATCTACGGCCTACAAACGAGGTCCCTACGCTTCGGGAAACTATCACAGAGGCACACTAGAACACCCATGCTCTCTCGATCCGATCATTTTTCGCAGCACAAGGAAAGACCATGCGGAGAAACGCGGCGCCCCCTTTGGGGACACTTCTTTCAAGACACGCCGCGGCTTCTGCCAGATGTCGTCCTATGGCTGAGGCGGCTGGATCAAACCTCCTCCCCTAAGAAGCCGCAGTCCAAATACATCTTGTGTGCGGTGGACAAGGCAGGCACTTGCTTGAATCCTCCGCCCTCAAGGTACGTCTTGATTTGGATCAAGAGTTTGCTGTAGCTCTCCCGAAACCCATCCGACTTCAATGCTTTGATCAGAGCCCATGTGAAGGCCCCCTGGAAGGTGCCGTCAACATGTGCATCTTCACCTGTGCTGTTCTTGAGCCCCATCTGCATCAAAAAACATCATAATATAGGGGCCTTAACAACTAGAACAGGGTTTTGGGGCCCATTATAATATAGGTATACCCCCTTTCGCAAACCTGATACAAGAACCACAATCCTTCTCAAGGACTCAGTTTCAACAACACTCAAGAGCAAGATTTCCGGTCCAAAATCCCAGCCCGGAAGTTCGAACACTCCAAACAAAACACACATCTCCATGTGAAATGGTTTTAGGGTTTAGGGTTCTCTATTCCTTAAAAACCCTAACCCCCTAAAGCCTCAAATCCTAAACCCTCTACCTTAAAACCCTAACCCCTAAAGCCTAAACTGAACGAACCCACAACTCTCAGCTCTATGGCCCGGTCGCTGGTCTCTTCATCCTGGCAGCCCGAGAAGACCCAAAGCTGATGGTCTTTGTACCTGGGCTTTTAAAGTAAATTTTACTATAGACTATATTCATAGTAAGGGACCCCCAATATAGTATGGGGCTTTTAAGTAACCAGGGAAAAAAGGATAAACTTTTATTTCATAATGGTTCCTTTAAGAAGAAAGTGTTAAAGTATGGTACTCCAAAGCCCAGGTACTTTGCTTGCCCAAGGACGTTGCGATAACCTGTGGGTTTAGGGTTCCGGGGGAGTGGGCCGGGGTAGGGCTTCAGGGATTTATGTAATCGAGGTCCAGGGAGACGTCGGCCGGGGGTAGGGCTTCAGGATTTAATCGGAAACCTTTCCACGCAACACTCGTCCCTGCAGCCCCTAAACCCTAAACCCTAAACCCTAAACCCCTAAACCCTAAACCCTAAACCCCTAAACCCTAAACCCTAAACCCTAAACCCTGAACCCTAAACCCTGAACCCTGTAGCCCTTAGAACCCTTTGAGGGGCCTGGGCCCCGACCTGCGGTCAGCAACTTGGGCTGAGCACCCTCGGAATCCCTGCCGGGCTGAGGGATGAACCTGGGGCTCGCCATTGGGGTTTAGGGTTTAGGTTTTTTTTTTATAAGTGCAAGGGTTTAGAGTTTAGGGGTTAGGGGGTTGGGTTTAGGGATTGGGGTTCAGAGTTTGCGGTATAGGGTTTAGGGTACTATTACGTATTCCTATTCATGTTTGAACGCTTGTTTGTATCACTGCTTCTAGCATTATTAGTCTTGTTATCATCACTATTATTCCCATTCCCATATTCCCATTCCCATTGCCGCTCCATCGCTGCGGAATTTACTCTTACATGAACTACTACTCTTGTTTTTGCCATTACTATCACGATTGTTAGCATTGTTACTACGAGTACCGTTTCTGTTATTAGTTATCATGCATCAGTGCAATCATGAATCTTCTAACTGTTAACTTAGTTGTAACAAATTATTATAGCCATGATTACTAGCAGCAGTACTTGTCTTCTCAATATTTGTAGTGTTGTTACTGGTTGTCTTATAAGTTGGCTTTTTGTAAGAATGGTTGCACGTTTCAGAGCTTCGTATAACCGTGTATTCCGGAAAACCTAACGTACAAAATTGCTAAACGGGTACTCTCTAAATCGCAGATCCTTAAACTTCCTGGTGCTTGGTAGGGAATGGGGGAATGGATCCCTATAGTAGTCCCTATATAGTCCCCAATAATATTCCCAATATCCATTCCCCAAGCACCAGGGAGTACAGTAGAAGCCAGAAAGTTGGAACATCAGTAGCCTCATGCCCTTAAAGCAACGTATAAGGAAACCCACCTTGAATCATCCTAAATCCATGTTCCAACTTTCTGGGGTTCACTATACCCTAAACCCTAAACCCCTAAACCCCTAAACCCCCAAACCCCTAAACCCTCAACCCTAAAACCCTAAAACCCTAAACCGTACCACTGTAGGGACCAAGGAGCCGCAAGCGGATGTCCTTTGCAGCCTCGCGCTTCCCATATGCAGTCTGCTGGTCCTGCTCCTAGGCACAGGTGATTATAGGACCCTTAAGGGAGGGTGGTTCAAGGGGGGAGGGTATAAGGAATCCTTAGGGGACTGTAAGGGAACCTTAGGGAGTACTAGGGAGAATTGGGGATCACTAGGCTATCTACCCCCCTTGGACCCCCCTCCCTTAAGGATACTACAAGGTGATGAGGAACCCCGAATGTCCGACACCCCTAAACGATGCAAAACAAGCTGATCCCAAACCCTGAACCTAAAAAACAAGAATCTAAAGCCCTGAACTCGAAACCCTGTGACAGAAGAAAAACAAAGCTCTAATGCCGTTGTTTAGGAACCTGTTCTTGAGGGAACCTCCGTTGTAGTAGTAATGCAACTATAACCATGAACTGTCCACACCAAACCCCAAAAAAACGCGAACCCTCCCTCAAGCCTAAACCCTAAGCCCCAAAGCCCTGAAACCCTAGGCCCACCCCAAGTCTCTGCATCCTAGGCTCCTAGTTGGGATAGGATTGAAATCTACATTTTTATTCCTTATGGGGCCTAAGTACCCATAAGTATGTAAAATGTTACCCAACTAGGACAAAGGCTCCGGGTTTCCGATATAGACTAAAACCCTAAGCCCCTAAACCCCTAAACCCCCTAAACCCTTTACAGAACCCTCATAGATCCCTTCAAAGGAACCCTTCTAGAACCCTTACCTTCAACCCCCTAAACCCCTAGCCTCTGCATCCTAGGCTCCAGGTTTCCGATGTAGATCTCGGCGCCTTCCCCCGGCTTCATGGACCGTACGTGTGCGATCGCCTCCACAGGGGCCCCGTTGAAAAATCCCTTACGCTTAGAGTTTAGGGTTTAGGGGGGTTTAGGGTTTAGTGCTAAGGGTCCCTTAAAGGGCTCTATAACAGGATCTTCTTTAAAGGGTCCTATTTAAAGGCCCATTAAAGGGCTCGATCATAGGATCCCCTAGAAGTTTGTATAACTCGAGTACCATTTTTTGGATTCCTTGGTTTGAAGGGTTCCTGTAAAGGTCACGAAAAGGGATCTCTAGTTACTTGAAGGCTCATGGGACTTAGTAAGTAAGGTTATAAGTAGCTTATAATTAGGATAACCCCACTTAGGGGACTTATAACCCCAGTTATAACCTACTTACTAAGTCCCATGACCCTCTAAGTATGCTTTCTTGAGTTGAACAGTTGAGGGCTTGGAGTATTTAGGGGCCTCAATATAGGAGCAAGCCTTGGGTCTCTTGGAGGTTTGGGGCTCAGAGTTTTAGTATACCCCCCCTTAGCACCATAATGAACATAATGCCTTAGGTTTTATATGAACAAAAAACACAAAAATCCATAAAGAGACTATAGGTTAAGGTGTAGGGTTTAGGACTCGACTCCAGGATGTTGCTGCCGTTGCCTTCTCTTTCGCTGCAAGACGAGCCTCTGCAGCTTTCACCGAATCCTGCCATTTCCGGGCCGTCACAGCGCGTAGCTGTAGGTTATGGTCGGTTGGGATAGGGTTACGGGTATGTTTGACAAGGGGTACTTGCATTACCCCATACTTGCTGTCCTGGCGAGGCATGATTTGCGACTAAACCCCACATAATATAGATCATTCATATGAAGCAACCCTAGAATGAGGGTTGTTAGTGTTACTAATTATTCAACACATCATGAACTGGCGTCCTCAAAGAAAGCCGAGATGGAGATGCTCAGGAGGTAGTTGTAATTCAACGTGGACTCATCAGAGTAGGGTCCGTAAGGGCCTCTCTTGGGAAAGGCGTGCTTCTCAAGGAGCTGAATCATCTCGTCTCGACTCTTTTTCTTGATGTCAAGCTGTCCGGAGTTGACCTCGCGGTAAAATCTCACCTCCGCCGCGACGTTGTCCTTCTGTCGAGTGAGCTCTTTGATCAACTTCTCCTTCTTGCTTGCGGTGATGGGGCCCTCCTTCACCACCATCGTTTCACACAGGTTTGCCACCGTGGCAGAGTGGCAGCAGTCGAAGACACAAATGGCCTTGCAACCGGGAGGCAAAGGATCGTAGAGCTTCTCATGGATTTCGGTGTCCAAAATGACGGACTCTGGCCACTTCCTGTCAATGATGAGGTCAAGCGGACAGATGCAATCTGCCGGCATAGCTTTCTCATCTGCTGAATATTGTGAGCCATGGCCACTGTAATGGAAAACCAGCGTATCTCCGCTTCTCGCATCCTTGTGGGAGCTCAACACTCAGATTTCAACCGCAACAACACGACCATGAATGCATAGCATGCAACCAATGATCATGAACCCTGGTACTACACTTGACGTCTCTTGGTAGTTGAAAGAAAGGAAGGGTATAGTGAAGTCTGTCCTTGGAGGTGTCGGGGGTTGCGAGTGTAGAGCTCTCTTGCTGCTAGTCACAAGTCCTACATTTCGGTCTTTCCGGAGCACCGTGATCTCCCGACTATATATATATATATATATATATATATATATATATGCATATACAGCCCTAAAGGCAAAGTACAAGGGATCCCAACACGAATCCTCCTAAACCAATGCGTGTTCCAACTTTCTGGGATTCGCCGTAACTGCCGTGATGCCAGGTTAAGTTCGAGCCTGGGAAGCTGGATGATGAACCACTATGTTAGAAGCTGCCCCCACCCTGTAATAGTGACCATAAGGATTATATATATATATATATAATAATAATAATAATTATATTAGGGCCCTATTATATTCCTATTATACCACTATTACAGGGTGGGGGCAGCTTCTAACCACTATGTTTGAAATATGGATGGAACCCCAACAAGTTGGGTCCAAAACCCAAAACTCCAACAACCCCAAACCCAAAACCGCACTCATCCGAAAATCCCAAACCCCGCAAAATCCAACCCTAAACCCTTCATGAAACCCTAAACCCTAAACCCTAAACTCATGCAGTCCTGGTAAAGCCAGTCCATCCCCTCAAAGATAACCTTTTTGAAGGGCCAGCTGCTCTTCTCCTGGTCCTTGCTCCCGGGGCTTTAGAGCTTTAGGGGTTCAGGTTTTAGGGTTTAGGCTTTGTAGGGGTTTAGGGTTCAGGGGTTCAGGTCTTGGGGTTTAGGGCTTTAGAGTTCAGGGGCTCAGGGTTTTAGGGGACTCAGGGGGTCTTCTAGGCGTTCCGAGGCAGCTCAGATTACGGCTTTAGGATTTTAGGGTTTAGGGTTCAGGGTATACTGAAGCCCTGAAGCCCTAACCTTAACGAGTGCCTAGTATTCGGTGAACTGATGAGGCTGGTTTGGCTTCAGGCAGGGGTGAGAACGGTTCAGGTGCTTACCTCCCACTGGCCAGGTTGAAGGAAACACACAGGACACCTCCACATCGTGTTACTCACTGATATTCCTACCATAACTACCCATGAACGTTTGTGATTGGTGTGCCGCCATCGTGCTGAGGTTTAGGGTATAAGATGCAAGACTTAGAGTTGGGTTAATTAATGTTTCTGTGCCCTTCTAACAGCAGTGGTGCCGGTGGGATTGCATCTTTAAGATTCTTTAAGTGTCGGAGCCCTATCAGACACGCACAATGTCTTAACGCCCTCCCATTAGACACGCACGATTTCTCAACCCCCCCCCCCCAACCTTACCTTTGGTTAGTAGGGAATGGAAGAATGGTAGTAATAGTAGTTATAATTGTACCCCATTCCTCCATTCCCTACTAACCACAGGTAAGCAACAAGTGCGTGCGATACATCCGAAAGGATTGTGCAGGAAGAAAACTGAGGACTTCCATCGCTCCTACTCTGACCACCGTGCTCCTGTCATCGACAAGCAGCTGATCGGGCTCGGCTTTCAGCAGCCAGTAATCCCATATCCCAAACTCCAATAAATTCGGCTCCAAAGAAACCCTACTCCCTGACAGCCACGAACCGCAGGATAAAGCCCTAAACTCCAAAACACCTAAACCCTGAATCCCACAACCCCCCCTAATCCCCACAACTCTAACCCCCAAAACTTAATAAATTCAAGGTCCTCGTTGATCATCCGTATGTCCTCGAGCTTGAAACCATACTGCTTCACGAGCATCTCCTTCACGTCATCTATGCTTGTCTTTTTGTGGATTTTAGGGCTTAAGGTTTACGGTTTAGGCGGTTTAGGGTTAGTGCGGATTCTGGCGAAGCAGGGGGGGGGCCTTCGAGCTTTGCGCCTAGGGGCTTGGGAGGTTTCAGGCATTAGTGCTCAGGCATCAACTGCACGGGATTCGGCTCTATGCTTTCATGGGGACCTGGTAAGCAAGAGTGCGTGAATTGTGAAAACCATTGGATGGCGTGAAGCTGCCAAATTCGAAAGTCCACTGCAAAGCAGGCTCTGTCGGTTGAGGGCTTGACTCACGTAACAGACAGCCGAGGGTTTGAGGGATGCTAAGGCTGCCAAGGCCCTTCGGTTTATGCACGGATGACTCCTGCATGTTGTTCACGTCGTTGATACACCCACGCAGCTCCGAGCCCGTGTTGCGATAGTTGATGCCAACCAGCAAAGCTTTCTTTCGGCCACCTTGGGGCCCGGCTGACAAAGCCTCATAAATGGGCCTACCCTCGCTGCTTGCGCAGCAGCCGGTATTTCCCATGGCTCCGACTCACTTGAAAACACTGAGGTGGACTCAGTCAACCCTCACGTAAGCCCCAACATCCAACAAACATAGTAACTGCTGGATCTATCATCCGCGAAGAACCTAAAACCCAAATCCTAATCATCCGTGAACAGCTGCGAACAAATATGACCCTTCTGCGAGCCGTAAAACCAAGCAAAGCTGACTCGAGGTTGGGCTTGGTGCAGCGGCATGGCATTTTGGCAATCTCTATATATATATATATATATATATATATACATCTGTGTGTGTGTGTAATTATATATGTACATACAGGGATATATATATATATATACATACATACACAGATATATAGATATATACATACATATCCTAATACGAAGGTTCATAGACAAGGCAGCTGATAGTAGGGCTGTAAGTGCTATGCTCGGAGTTACAACGCGACCTTTGACCAATCGCCCTTGAACCTTCCAACACTCGAAACGTAGTCTTGTGGTGCTCAACACAGCCGCCGCTAAACCCTACCTTGACCCTTAAACCTTAAACCCACTCCCTACCCTAAACCGTAAGCCCTCAACCCTGAACGGTCCTAAACCCTAATTATTCGGAGGTCCATTATGACCCCAATTATAGCTACCCATGAACCTCCAAGCACGCCATGCTTATTTCTTCGGTCGTCTTGGCGGCTCGCAGGGGCTTCCCTGCTCTGGCCTTGCAGCCCTAAACAGGGGCCTTTAGGGGGGGTAGGGGGGGGGTTTAGGGGGCTATGCTTCCTTAAATGGGCCTTTCCCTGGAAGTAGAAAGACCCTATGACATGTCTAACATAGGGGCCTGAATGATTGAAACGGGGTTAACGCTGTGCGCAGCTGTCGCGGTTGAAAGATCAAGATACCCAAAGGCCCCAAAGTAGTTCCTTTTTGGGATTCATATATAGAATCTTATTAGGTAAGCCCAAAAAGGAACTACTTTGGGGCCTCTGGATAACGAAGACTCGTCTCTAGGGCCCCTAACGTAGGCGCCTTAATAATTAGAATAGGGTTCTTAAAAAGGGCCCTTACAGGGTTCTACAAGGGTTCCTATAGGGTATATAGTGTACGGGCCGAAAGAATTAGAATAGGGTTTTGGGGTATAGTATGCTATAATTATGATAAGGAACCCCAAAATAGTACTGGTAATCATAAAGGCCCCTATGTCAAGCTGCCTTCGGAAACATGGCTCCAACTGCACCTTCGGGCAGCACATGCCCCCGGTAAGGTCGAGGGGACCCAAAACTAAAACGGGCGCAAACAAGCGGAAGTACTGTAGGGGGCCTTCACAATTAGAATGAGGTTCCCTTTAAGTGATCCTTCAAGGGGTCTATAACGGTTGCATAATACAGGGACCTCATTCATTAATTAGAAGAGAGTTTCGGTGCCCATTATACAACATTTGATAATATTGGTGGCCTTCGGCCCTATAGTACTGCACATCCCGCCAGAATGCGCTGAGACGGCTTGGCACAGGCTGCAAGAAAACGTGCCTTGCGAGACTCATGGCTAGCGGCTAGCTGCTGCTCTGCGAAACATCTCGACTGCACAGCTCCAAAACCCTACTGTCCTCACCCATATAAGAGTTTCCGGAAATTAGGGGTACCTTATTTTGGGGACCTTATGATAAGGATCCTACTATTTAGGGTACCATCTTAGGGTCCCCTGTTTTCGGAAACTCCCATAAATCCTAGGCCCTGACACCCCAAAGCTCCAAGCACGAAGTCCCGTCGCCGCTGCCATCAGGAGCGACATCCCTCAGAGATGGCGAAGCCAAGTGCCATGACGCAGCCTCCAGCCAAAGACAGATTCTTCTGGATGTGCAGGTAGTGTATCTTCTCTCCTTGCTACCAGGAACACACTTTGAGCACATCAGAATTCTGCAACTCGCTGGGACGTGCTGGTTTGAATAGCCCAGTCCTGACTGCAGATAGGGCTTCAGGTGACCAAAGTAGGTGGAAACCAGCAGAAAGGTCAAGAAACCCAGTGCACCCATCTCCACAAGGATCGCTGCACCGCTCATGTAGAGGAGCGAAGATACCAGCAGGAGCATCACTACGAGGACGGCACAAAGCCGTGCTGTACAACGGCCAAGACCAGCTTCCATGATCATCCCAACCTTGTGAAGTGCCCAATCCTACCATCTACCCTAAACCCCAAACCCAAAAAACCCAAGAACATCTACCCTAAACCCCAAACCCCAAAATCGCAAGAACCCTAAACTCCTGACCTTAAACCCAAAACCTCAAAAACCCTAAACTCCTAAACCCTGAACTCAAAAATCCTAAACCCAGTTCACAATCTCCAGACCCCAGACCTCCAGGCAGGCCAAAGCCCTGGAAGGTGAGTTACAACTTCGGCTGTGGGCGTTCTCAAGACGAGGGGTTTACAACACATAGAGGGCCCTGGTAGGGCTTAGGGCTTACCACAGATTGAGGCCCTAGTAAAGTTTAGGGTTTCAGGGTTTAGGGTGTACCCACAAAGGGTATTATGCTTCTATATGACAGGACAGGGTCCCGTTAAAAGTTTAATGGTTTTATACAGTAGGGTCCACTTTAAAAGGTATTATGGTTCTATATGCTAGGGCCCCTTTAAGGGTATTGTGGTTAATAGGGTCCCCTTTAAAAGGTATTGTGGTTCTATATCATAGGGGGCCCGCGAAATCAATGGGGCTTAGGGTTTAGGGTTCAGGGTCATGTAATAACGAAACTCTTGTGCAGTGCATGTGTGAGTGTTTATGGTATCGTTCGTTCCTGACGTCCGTCAGCAACTGAGACACGAACCAGCTGATTGATGTCCATCGCGTAGTGGAGACATGAGAACAGAAACCTAGGCATCCATTTCATCAGCCCGAAGAACCCTAGGGTTTAGTTGTTTTTTAAAGCGCCTCTTTTCCAGCTCGCAGGGTGCTTACCGAACATCACCATAGGGAAGGCAAAGACAGCCCTCTTCAGCCATCTTGTTTAGGGTTTCGGGTTTAGGCTTGACAATTCGTGTTCTTGATTAAACCCAATACGGGAAGTTGTACATGATCTCCAAAACATAAAACCCTCAACCGTATACAAACCAAAATCTACATCGAGCAACGGCGCAGTAAAGAGTACCATCCCGGACGACTGAAGGATCCATGAATAGGGACGGAGAGTGGCCCAGTATGCTTCCAGCATTTCGTGAAAAGACCTATGTGAAGCGGGTACGGCCCCAGTCTGCGGCAGTTCGAAGCCGATGGTGGCCAGGCAGTGCCCACACATGCCGATGTTCTTCCTGGAAGCCGCGTTGACCAAGATACCAATAGTAACTGGAGCATAAACTGAAACATAGTCCTAAACTGAAACATAGTCCCGACTGATACTCCCTCCGGTATAATATACTACGAAATGAGAAAGACAAGACTGAAATGTGACAGCCCAGCTTCAGCATCATAAAGAAATGGTTCAGGTCATTGGATTGCTTCCAGGGCTTGTAATGTCCAAAAAACGTTGAAGCAATCCTGAAGCTGCAGCAATAGGGTTTACAGTCATATCTTAGGGTATGCGGAAGACCAGGCTTACGAATTGAAATCATCATACTGTAGCGCATGTGAAGCATGCGAAACTGTTGAAGGATCGGGTCCGTATTGGGGGCAGCATTGAATCCCTAGAGTGCCACCTCCTGAGCCCTAAACACCAAAGGCCGCGCTAACCAAAGGCTGTCGCTCCGAGGGACAGAAACATCAGCAGAAGCGCTGTACCCAGCAGCATCCAAATGGTGATGCCTGACTTAGACTCCCAACAACGCCCCCTCATTGTCCCATTTACTATCGACTAAACGGTGACCGGGGAGGGGTTAAGGCCTGTTTGCAATCATGCGTACGGTAGGACCATCGGATGACAGCAGAATAGAGACCGTCCGTTGATAGATGATGCAGGATTTTGCCGGCTTTGTTGAAATAACTCAAACCAAAAGCTTAGTTTACCGATCTCTGAGTATGGTCCCTAATTCAATGAAACCCTCGAACAGATATAGAAGTTCAGAACGTAATCGACCCCTGCTTGATGCAAGCATGGGATCTTTGGACTCTGGACCACCCTCCAATTGGCCCAAAACCCAAAACCCCTAGACGCCTAACCCTAAACCCTAAAGCCCCAAACCCTAAATGTTGAACCAAAGACGAAAACCCCGACCGAAACACAAACCAAACCCTCCCTTCCGGACCTCGGCTCTTTTCATCGAGCCAGACTCGTGTGCCTGCGCGAGCGGCGTCACCTGTGCAATCTGGGATTGACACTGCTCCAACTCTCCTCCTCATCTAATGTACAAGGCTATGAAGAGGCATGGAGAGGTTTCCTTCCACGGCTTTCCACCAGGTCTCGGGATTAAGGGGTTTAGTCAACACATCCGCGAGTTGGCGATACGTGGGTAGCCAGTGGAGCGGGAAACGCGTGTCCCTCCTTTCAAAGTTCAGTGACTGCCGTAGTGCAGCCAGGTCTATAGCGAGCCGTTTGTCCGAGGGAGTCCTCGGCGCTCCCTCCTTGTGGAGGTGATCATATAACGACTTGCAGTCGGAATAAAAACGGACACACTGACCGGACAACTCTTCGACACTGTACAATCTACCACGCAGAAGAGAGAAGATATACGAGCGAAGATATTGCCCCGTCTCAACTCCCTCAGTACAGGCCATCGTCTCGGCAGTGAAAGTCGAGCGGCACACCCGCTGGATTGCAGAGGACTTCCAATCCAGAATGCTCACCGGTCCTCCTTCTGGACTGTAGCACCTAGCATCTCCGATCACAGTGAGCAGGCCAAATTGACTTGCAATCTTGGAACTCGCTTTCTTGGCTTTCCTTTCCTTGTGGTCGAAAGGGGAGTCCTTCATGGTGCCCAGCTCGTGGTCCTCAGCCGTAAGGACAAACTCCGGGTCGTCCTCGTTCTCTCGGGGAAGAGCATTGGCCCAACCTGCGTCGTGGTAGGTGAAGATCTCGAGAGAATCCAGGTCCACTGCCTTAAGCCACAGGCCGTGCTCATGGAATTCCATGGCACGTTTGGCAGTGGCATTGCTGAACTTGACGTCTCCGACCGTTGGTGCTTTCTGGAGTTGTTGTGCAAAGGAAACTGAGCACTGCAAATCTGGCCGCGTTTGAGAGGCCAGCCAACTCAAGGCGCCGACCAAGCTCCTGTTGTCGATCATCTGCTCAGTAGTTGCGGGGTCAGTGTCCTGTTGGCCTTTTTCCGTCTCGATCTGAAACAAGCGGCTTGCTGCATAGGCCGATTGTGTGATGTGGACACCATCCTCGCTGACCTTAACGTGGGAACCGATGTACTCGAAGTCATTCCTTTCCCATTCGTCAATGGGGAGGACAGCATTCAGAGCATCCTCAATGGCCCGTGAAAGCTTCCGGCCACCAACCAGTAGCAGATCATCAACATGAACACCGAGGTAGGCCTTCGGTGGAGACCCTGGGTCCTGAGATGGAACCAACATGAAGACGCATGGATCGAGCACGTGCTGCTTGAACACATACTCAATGCCTTCGTGGCACACCTTGAGTTCCAGGAGGATATTCTTGAGCTCAAGCCACCACGACCTCGGCGAATCCACAAGACCGAAGATCCCCTTGTCAATCCGAAACAAAGCTCCAGGTTCCATTCCTTTAACTCCAGTTCGCGGTTGTCGCATGTAGAGTGTACGGGATATTGGCTTCCCGTTCAAGAAAGCAGCAGTCACATCTCCGGCACTCGCTTGCCAAGGATCATCGCCGTCTTGTCTCGAGGCAACAAACTGGAGAAGGATCAAGGTGGAGATCCGGTTGATCGTCGGGGCATCGGTGAGGACCTTGCCTATGTCGGGGTCCTGGTGCCCGAACACCACCAGGCGACTCTTCGGTCGCCAAGGAACATTGGGGTCCAAGCGGCGCTTGCTGTAGTTCTTATCGCGGTAGGCCCAGCGACTTCCCAGAATCCTCGCCGCCGGGATGGTGGCCTCGATGTCCTTGGACTCTTGAAGGGAAAGAGGAGTGAGGGCCTTGTTGTCCAGGTGCTCCTTGATCTGCTTGTCCTCCGCGAGCTTGAACCCATGGTGTTCCGATGGCGGTATCATCCGCCAAGGCAGTTCCTTCTCGAACTGTTTCTCTCTCGACCGCTCTGTGTGTGCCTTGCGCAACATGAGGGTGGAGTAGGGCTCCTTCTCCGCCTTCTTTTTCCCTCGGACTCGTCGTAGGATGGGACCATACCCGGACGGTTCTGGCGGGTCCTGTCCAGTAGGTTCGCTTGGGCCTGGTACTTCGGGGACCGCACTCTCGGAGACTTCAGGCATCTCGACATCGCCGGAGGGGAAATCGTAGGCGAAGTTCTCGTCCGGTTCGGAGGGGGAGTACTCCGCCAAATCCGGATCCATTTCCATGTCCTCCGGCTCGAAGACCTCCGGATCGTCGGGGTCGTTCCGGAGCAATCGGTCCAAGTCTTCCTTGGCCACTCGTGTCGATAGTAGTTCGTTCAACTCCTCTGCAGTGGAGGGCCTGAGATGTTCTTCAGCAACAAGATGGCAGCGGCCACCGAATGAGACCCACCAGTTGCTGGGCCCTTCCGTTCCGACCAACACTCCGGGCCCTCTCCAACTCCCGCGCTTGGTGGCGACCTTCTCGATGCGGTAGAAGCAGACCATCTCGCCAATGTGGTAGGAGGTGTGCTTGATACGGGCCCTCTGGATCAAAGCTCTCCTCAGCCTGGTGTCGGTCTGGGAGCGGAAGAAGGCAACTCGAGCGGCACTCCTGATGCTGACTTCCTTTTGGCGTTTCCGGTCTGCGGTCATGATCTCGAGGAATCGTTCCTCGTCGCCTCCGGCAAGAAGTTCTTCCGGAGTGGCCGGATCCTTTCCGAAAACTGCTTGTGATGGCGAGTACCCGTGCCTCCGGCGCAATTGATTCTTGGCCTGGTTCACACAGGCCACTGCGAGATCGATCTCGTCTTCGGTCACCGTCTGTTCGTCGATGACCCGCTTGATGATGTCCTCGTACCACATCTGATGGCGCTCTACCAGACCTTGTTGCCAGTGTGCTTGGCCGGCTGACCGCCTCATTCTCACACCATGAAATTCGGCGTACCGGGTAAGACCGGCTTGAAGACCCGTCTCTAAATCAGCGGACAAAGTCACTGGCGCTCCAAAAGAGTTGCCCCAGGCCTGGATGAAGGCCTGCTCGTAGGCCTCGGTGCTGTGACCCTCCAGTCTTCGGACAATATGGAAGGTCGTCGCGTGGTCAATGACGGACATGAGGGAGTGACGCTTCTTGTTAGCGTCAAACACCGAGAAGACGTCGACAGAGACGAGGGCGTTGAAGTCCAACAAGGTTGGCAGCGCGGCCGGGCGGGCCGCATGAGTCCTCTTGTTCCGGTCACAAACTTGGCATCGCATCATCTTGGCGGCCTTCAAGATGGAGGCCTCTGCGCCCGCATACTTGAGGTGCCGGCTCAAATCGCCCGGAGACGGGTGCCCCAGGTTCTGGTGTAGCCGGGCAAGGGAGCTCTGAACATGCCGAGGAACATGACTCGGAAAAGTGATGGCGCTCGCTCCGGACGGTCCCGCATCGGGTCCTGGCCTTCCTTCTTGATCAACGACATAGCACAGCTCGTGCTCCGGATCGTGGTAGTCAATCTCGTTGTTCTTGATCACATGAAGGAAGCCCTGCTCGGTTTCTCGGACCTCGTAGTTGTAGCCATGGAAGTGGGCCGTCAATCCGGTGGACCAGTCAAGTCCGGGATCTCCCTGCTGGACAATGAGAGTGCCTCCGCGCACCAGTTGGGCAGCTCCAGCTTCGAAGACTCGTGGCCAGTCTTCCTCTGTGATCTGGGGCTCATTGAACCAGAGGACGCGAGGAGAAAACTCGTCAAGTAGAGCACGAAGCCGCCTGAGTCCAACATCACCTCGAAAGTCACTGGTCTCCAAGGGCTCGGCGACATCCTTGCCGAGTTCGGCGGCGGCGCAGGTGTTGGCATGATCGCCAACCTCCAAGATGGCCGTTTTCCCAGCCCATTGACGACCACCATAAACCTCAGAGGAGACACTGTAGACAGCATTGAGGGTAACCGCGAAAAGCATGTACACTTTCAGGGCATTCTTCCACAAAGTTCTTCGGGCTCCTTTCCTCGGTCTGACTCTTGTTGATTGTCCGGTTGTGGATGCTCCATCCAGGGCCGGTCTTTCAATCCGGTCACGACCAATCGGGAAACCCAAGGTCCTGAGAGTGTCACGTTGAACCTGATTCAAGTGTTCAGCTCCTCGGGGCGTGTAGGTGGTGAGAGTAAATCTTTCGCCGACCCAGTCCTCAGTAGCATGCCGGCGGTGAGCATCGAAAACAAAGACCTTTCCTCGAGTATCGTGGTAGGATGCCTCACCGTTGGCGTCTTCAAGCCAAAGCCGACCACCCGAAAAGTCGCCGAAGGAGATGGTCTGGTTGTAGGTGTTCGGACAGTTGTTGGAGTCGCGGTGAACCTTGGCAGGGGCATTCCTGCTAAGGCAAATGGCTGTCCACTTCCCAGTCATGCCCTGGCGCTTTAGGAGCTCGTTCAGGTAGCGGGCCGACTCCACGTACTGATACGTCCCTCTCGTCAGACCATAGAAAGAGCCGTAAGCGTAGGCCCCGATCGCCAGAGTAGCTGCCTTGTCCCCATGAACATCGCGATTCGCATTCTTGGTTCCGACTTCCCCAAGGAGACGTAGTAGGGGTTGGCAATCTTCAAGGCTGAAACGGCGATCGCGTCGTAG